GACAGATAACAACGTTCCTAACATCCTCATATTTTTCCACTGCTTATCTCTTTATTAGCTTAATAGGCCGAAACTTCTTAATCCTGATATAGTTTATTAATTTTTATGCGTTTTTGCTGTGCAGCGCTATAGCGTTGTGTGTCCGGAAGCGAGTAAACTTTTTCATCCACGTTTATCTCAACAATCAGGAAAGCTGGGAGGCTGAAATTTTGGGTATATGTTCCTATCCCGTTTGTCACCTCCCGTTTTATGATCTTCCCCCACATGCGCCTAGACTCCGCGTACGGACCCTCGAAAAAAATATGCAAATTTCTTTAGTAGGTAAGATTTTGGCAACCAAGCAAGATACAGAGCTGAAACTTTGCAGAGATATTCTCTGCGCATGTGCGAGCTAAACATTTCAAATTCAGCTGTCACACACGCTTGTGCAACGCGTACGATCACGTCGAAGTCTGCAACTCAGTATTGTGCTAACTCGAAAAATTGCCAGTAGCTGAAATTTTGTCAGCATGTTTGTCGCCCATATGGGAAATCGTATACTTAAAATGAGCATCGATTTGCACTTGCGCCACGACTTACGGCACTTCAAAAATATTTGTAGCGAAGTGGATATTTTGCTTACCAGATAAGATGCGGGACTGAAAATTCGCTGTGATATTCTACTTTCAAGTGGTGTCTTAATTCTGCTTGGAGGTGAAATTCCCCATAGGTGTGCGTGAGAAATACTCAGCTTTACCAAAAAATTAGAAACGAATGCGTTCTGCAGCGAACCGCCCTCATCCAAATATGCAAATAAACATCCAGTTCATTTGCGCACTTGGATTTTTATTTGACAAACGACCCCTCTAGCAATATTCCAGTTTTTAGTGAACTGGAAGTTTGCATTTTTTCAAAAAATTTGCATTTTCCATTTTTTCAAAAATTGAGCATTTACCGAAAAAACAACCGGGCTTCATGCAAAAAATTAGTAATTATGTACCTGGAGGTCCATGCGGCCCTATAGTGCAACTCCTGCATCCCAGCTGACGTCCTTTCTCCTTTATGTCGGAAAAGGCCAGAGCGCGGCCAATATGAGCCCAACTGTTAAGCTACAGCGCAAGGATAGTTCCTGCTATTAGCGATCTGCGAGTTTAGTGCAAAAACGCATGATCGCATCGGCAAGCCCAGTGCGTTCTAGCTTGTGTTCATTTATGCAATATGTTTCAGTCTTTAATGTGTCCAGTATGTTACATTATTATCTAATATTTACTGGTTCTACTGTTTAAACCTAATAAATATCTAAGCATCGAAATCCAAATGTTTTAAAACTTTTGAAAATGTGCTAAAAGGAAGTGTCGAATTTAAAAAATAGCACTGTTACTACAGTTAGTCGAAAAGTGCCGAATTAAAATGCCAAATTAGCAAACTATGAGCTTGTTTAATGCTTTTCCTCGCTTCCTGCGCTTCTATCCCAGTAATTCTCTCTAGCCCTTTCTTGTAGAATAACACCTGTGGAAGTACGCCATTTTGTTGGAGAACTACCACAGCGACTAGAAACCTAAAATGTAGCCCCTCCTTCGAAAGCCTGCCGTGGAATTTTAAACTTCATTCAGACCAGTGTGGCTGAAGAGGAGAGAAAGGAGCGAGAAGTGAAATTTGGAGGAGGAGAAGGGTGAAGTCAGGAAGAATGGAAAAAAAAGAGAACGTGGTGGTTACCCATTTTCGGAGGAGGAAATCACTCTCTCTCTCTCCCGAAAAAATACTACTTATTAACATTTGTTTTTATTAAATTTCAGATTCTTTTGTAAGCAGCCTTCGAAGGCGGGATTCGTCGATGGCCTTGTCAACTGGCGGTTGCTATTAGTATCTGCTGCCATTCCGAACACCCCCGAAATGTTTCCCTGCCTAGAAAGCGAATATAGAAGGGGTTTTAATTTTTGATATTTTGAAATATTTACTGATTAGCAAAGATTTTTTTGTTCTGAAATTGCCTCTCCGAAAAATAGGCGATAGGCTTGGATTCATTATTTATTGCGTATAATGAAATTAACGTCACCCTTTGGTTCCACTGTTCCTGTTTTCAGTGGCTTCGGAAGGACGGCGTTGTCTGTCGTACGAATACACTCTTTTTTCTGACTGAAAACAACATTTTGAAGAGAAATTTCAGCGCGCAAACAAGCATTATATTCTTACAGACATATTATTCTTACGAATATATTACCATATTTCTGACCGGATAAGCTATAAAATAGAAAGAAGGCAAATTTCTTACGTCCACAATTTCTCCAATCAGATATTTCTCTTTTAGAACCCGAGCATCTGTTGAGTGACCCACATCTTCGTACGCTTCGGTACCATCCCCGCCAGCCTGTTCCAATAGCACTTCACATCCTCCTGGATGCTGAAATTAGAGCTAAAAAATTTCAAAAGAAAATCCAGCAGACATGGCTCATATCAAAAAATGCTGACTGAATCGGAAGGTCATTTGTACGTATGAACTGAAGGAACGACTCCTAAATGAAGTCTGCGACTCAGGATTGGTGCACTCAGCACAGTTACTTGCGGTGCATGAGGGTATCACAATATTAGCGTCAGTAAAATGAGATCCCCACGGTCCTGGTTGAGATCATATGTTAGTGATGTTAATACTGTGTTACTCTCATGCACCATACGTAACTACGCTGGGTGCACTAAAAGTCCTACCTCCGGAGAGTCTTGGTTATCCTAGTATTTTCATGCATTTTTAAGCAAGTGTTTTATTAATAAAAACAAAGTAGAAGACAAAAGAAGACAAACTTGCATATAAAAAGCAGAAATGCAAAAATTTAATGACTGCAAATGAAAAAACCCCAGGCTGGAAAGCACCGGGCTTGCCGGTGCGATCATGCGTTTTTGCACTAAACTCGCAGATCGCTAATAGCAGTAATGATCCCTGCGCTGTAACCTAACACTTGAGCTCATATTGGCGGTGCTTTGGCCCCTTCCGGCATGCAGGAGGAAGGCATCAGTTGGGATGAAGGTGATGCGTCTTAGAGCCGCACGAACGTTCAGGTACATGATTACTAGTTATGCGTTTTTGCTGCGCAGTGCTATAGCGCTGCTACAGCCAGCAAAAGAGCACATTGTCGAGAGGTTGTCTATGTGTGTGTGTGTTCGGAAAGCGAGTGCATTTTGTCACCCACTTTCATCTCAGCAACCAGGAAA